TATATATATATATATATATATATATATATATATAACGTGTATGGGCCATTCCATGACAATTCGCACACTTTTCTTCAGTCAGCCGCTCCAAGTTTTTTCAAACTGCAAACTTCTAAGACTTCATTCTTCAATTGCCAAGTTAAAGGGGAGTACTTCCAAAAACGAGCTAGCGGCAAAGTTAAACCGTACTAAGTTGTAAAAAGAAGGGAAACCTTTGCTTGACGTGATCTTTTTTAGAAGGCTACTATTTTTCTTATCTGTAATGAGTTTCAACCTTTTCGGCTCATTTGGAAAACCATCTTGTGCAAAATCAGAAAGGCGACGGAGTAAAAAGTAAAATGAAGAATACTGGGAAACTTTAGGGCTAAAAGCGCTATAATTTCGAGTTTTAAAGGAACCATTCGAGAGCATAATTTGGGTGTAACGGAAAATTTCATAGTTGTATTCTGGTGGCTGTCAGGGGTACCGATAAGATTGGTGCATTTATACTGCAGAAAATCTTTATTTTACTCTTCAACAAATGAAACTTCTATTTTTGGCTAAACTTTTTTTTTTTTTTTTTTTTCTTCAATATGATAGTGTGTCTCGCTCTAACTAACTCAGTAAAAAGTATACGATCAAAAGTTTTTTGCTGTTGAGTAATCTAGGAGTAGATTTTTGAAGAAAGATTGCATTAGTTACTTTCTGCACTTATGGCGTATCACTTCTTCATGAAACCCTATAAACAGAATATTTGGCAAATGCCAGTATATGAATATATAAATATCAACATAAATATTGATGTGCGTATATGTATTTTTTACAATAACTCTTTAATTGACACTGATGTTTCAGTTGATTTCCCCGCTATGAATTGACTAACTATTAATCAGCAGGCTACAGTAGCCTCGAAAAAAACTTCAAGTACAAAAGATTTTGCCATTTCGCCTCTCTCCTAATCCTAGAATTTCGGAACCCATCGACTACTCAACCTGAAATTTTAGCATTCTGTACAGAAAATATACTTTCATAACAATCTTTTAAGACAAAATCTAGAATGCAGTGTTTTTCAAAATCACAGTGAAGTTTTGTTTTCACTTTAACCTTTCGTATATTTTGTCGTCATAAGCATTTCATTGCTTTTCAAAATCTGCAGCAGATAAGCTATCGAGCAAGACACCAGAAAAAAAAAAAAAAAAAAAAAAA